GTGGAAAGAAATGACAAGGACGCATCCAAACCAGTCGCCAGACACTTTAATCTTCCCAATCGTTCTAAACAGCATATGGCAGTCTGCGGCCTTTCCTTACATCTAGGCAGATCGGAAAGCCGTAAAACACTAGAACAAAAATTTATCTTCCAAACCGGCATCCTTAATCCCCACGGAATCAACGAGCGCTTTTCATTCAACTAATTTATAGGTTCTCGTCACCGTATTCCCACCAATGGGGTAGCTCCACTTTCTGCATATAAACCCAAACACAACCCACAATTCCTCCAATCGCTCTGACGAAGGGCTAACGCTCGAAACGTCAGCTTTTTTACCCTTTACGGTGGCTAATTTACGTTTTGAACTCAGTTGTTAACACTAAATTACCTGCTATACTCTCCCACCGACGCAGCACCACAGTTTCTTCAGAAACTTACCCCTTAATTCAATAAAATGCAAGTTCATGCGAGGATCTGGGATTGCTTCCCGCCAAAATGTTTAAAAAAAAATATTCACGCATCTACAAATTCCTTACCTCAGCTACAACTTAATCATTTTCTTTTTTTTTTTTCAATAATACTCACAAATAACTGAAGATATGACAGAAAGGACAGTCCACGGAGACAGAGAAAGACGACAATGTGGAGACCAGATGTTAGACCACACATAGTTTTAATCCGCGGTGAAGGGTTTGTCACGTAGCATGTTGTCAGGGAAGCGTGTTGTGTGACATGCCCAAAAGCTGCGAAGATTTTGAAGGAGGTAAGTTGGTTTTTATCGCTCGAATACAACTCAAACACCACATCAATAAAGTCAAGCACCCTCCATAAGAGAGTTAATAATTAGCTTTTGTTACGAATGAATGCACAAGAACAAAGAACCATCATTTATCTTGAACCATTCACGGCGCAGTAACTATGGAAATGCGGGATGCATATCAATTCCACGAAGCGTCACATATTTTCTATCAGATTTCTAGTAGAAAGTGGGAGGTTAAAGACTGAACTAAGCTTACTTTCTTACTTATAAAGTTACATAGTAGTCCGTTTGTTACGTTAAAAAAGTTGCCCAGTCTTATCGTTTCGTCTAGAATCCCTTGGCGATATTTAAAAGACATCTCAGTCGATGATCATACTCACAATGCAAGCAGAATGAATCGACTGTAAACAGCTGTCTTGACTAAAAGGCGGCAATCTTCATGGCACCACTTGCAGGAACTGTTTCATCGACAATTATGTCTTCTACTAAAGATATGGTGGAGTCAACAGCCAGCAATGGAGAGGAGCTACGAAATTCAGTTGTGAATGTAGGAGACATGATCAACGCTATTGCGTTCGCAATTTTGATTTTGTTTACGGCTTTTGGTAATCTTCTAATCCTGGCCGCCATCTTCAAAAGCAAGATCCTTCGTTTCCGCACTCATCTTTACATCACGAGCCTCTCCTGCGCAAATTTGCTCATGGCTGGTGTGGTAATGCCACTTCGAGTCCTGAGCTTTGTGGACAAAAACACATGGCTGAATAAACCAGGATTGTGTGAGACATATGGCAGCTTTTTTGTGCTGTTTTGTACCGTGACTGTCTACACGCTGGCAGCACTGAGCTTGGATCGGTACTTCTCAATCTCCCGGTACAAGTGGTATCAGAAATGCTTGACCAGTGGCCGTACGTTTTGCCTAATCGTTCTTTGTTGGAGCATTGCCGTGCTGGTGTCGTTTATGTTTGCCAATTTCGACGACGATGTCGGAAAATCGTTGAACTGCAAGTTGAGTACAACCTACACCATAGGTTACGTTTATGCGTTCGTCGGCATTGAAGTTCTGACTCCTGTGGTCTTCATGTTGATTTTGCAGTGGCAAGTTATGAAAACAGCTGTAAGCCATACTCACACAGTGGATGTCTGTGGTAGACAGATCAAAAACTTGGACTATGCTGATTTTCCATCGATCACCAAAGAAACAACCTGGTCCAAGATTGTCGTTCGAATTACTCTCAGTTTTGTTATATTTTGGATTCCAAGGTGCGTATTTCTTCTTCTTGACAACAGCAACGCGGCAGGCATCCACGAAGTTGCCGATGGTTTGACAGAGATCATGACTTATTGCTTCCCTCCATCATTTGCCCTGTTGCTGGGTTATTGGAGTAAGGAGTTTAGAGAGGTGTTTGTAGATATGCTTTGTCCATATGCCTGTTATCAGAAACAGAAGGACATGAGGAAGTACCGCCTGGGCGAGCCTAACAGAGTGAAACCATCAATGATGTACAGAAAACACTCCAAAAACTTTGCTGCATCATGATTGTTGTTCGAATTACTCTCAGTTTTGTTATATTTTGGATTCCAAGGTGCGTATTTCTATATAGTTTTTACACATAGTTTTCTTTGGTTAATTTTATCTAACCAGTCAAACAGAACGGTAAGTAGTTAAACCAGATCTGTTTCAATCCTTGATCATACAGCATATGATTTTGACTTACCTGTTAAGTAATAGAGAAATCATAAACTATTTGGGTTATTGTGCATAAATTTGAAAATTCCCAACACATAAGGGATGTGTTTTTGTGTTCACTGATCATGGAATTTTAAAGGAAAAACAAGAACCTCATAGGAAAATGTTGATTCAGTAGAGTTTGGTTATATTCAGCTAACTGAGTTTGAATGATGGGGTAACTTTTACCAGACAGTAATATAGCAGGTACATGTATGGATAGTGTTAAAAACTGAAATGTTTAAAAGCAAAACACAAGTGTGGTAGAAATTAACAACTTTTATTTTTTACTGTCAGTTAATTTTCTTGTTTTCTTCGAGAAATGTAAAATATTCTTCAACAGTCTACTAGTGTTCAAATTGGAGTTAATTTTTAGAGCATTGTCACTGGGGTTTTCATGTTCAATAATCAATGTAGAGTATGTTTTTTTTGAAGTTGGTGATATTTTTTAATTTGAAAATTGGAACCAAATTGATACTCATCAGTAGGAGATGCATGCAGGGTTTATGTTCATACAGCTATTTCAATTTATGTTGTCGGATCAAAGCTTCAAGGGTAAGGGACAAGACTGAAAGGCGTTATGGGTAGATTAGAATTAATTTTAGGCTTTCGGGGTTGTAGGCTTGAGGCTTTGATCCGACAACATAAATTGAAATAGCTGTATACACTTCAAACTTTTCACCCTTAAGCCCCTAAGAGTGACTAGCATCTAATATCTCCTTACAATATCACCCCTGAATCAAACATGGAAGTCATGGGAATAGAGAAGATGGTCACCAACTAAAGCAGCTCTTGATTGTTAAACAAATTCTCCTTGTCAGCCTCTTTGAAAATGTACGGAGAACAGTATGGAGAATATGCATAGTGATGTTAGGGTGTAAAGGGTTAAACAAACAATATAGGTAACTGTGACCCTTTTGATGAAAGACTAGGCTTGTTTGTTCCAAGACCACACATGTTCTTATTGGGTCTCCTGTGCTTAAGATGTTTAACATTTCAAAACAGTGGACAAAACAAGAAATGATTGACTGCCATTTCTTCTAAAAGTTTTAAAATATTGTTATCAGCATGAGCATGCAAGATGATAAATGTACCCAGGTTACAACATAATATATGGAATTTTTGTTGAAAGAACAGTACATAAAATTGGTCATGGTTTTTGATAAGTCTAAAAATAGATTTAGATGTATTTATAATGATTATTATAGAATAATTTTTGAAGTTTGCAATATACATTATAAGAACTTGTTTTGATTATTAAATGTCAACTTTGTTTCTGTGCATCAAAATTTTGGTGATTTTTATAGTAACAAGTGTGTTTCTAAATAAAGGTTTTATAAAAACATCCTTTGAAGTTGTGCAGGTTCAGTGGCATGCCTTTCAAATGTAGTTTGTTCTTACAAATTTGTAAGCAAAGTACTTTGATGCCTTTAAAACTCAGAGAGATGCAGGGAGAATTTAGCATCTTTACAGTATGTCGCTTAATGAAGTTTCATTTATTTTCACTTTAAGAAGTCCTGTCCAGGGCTTCTGTAGCTTGGATAATCTTGCCACATGATTATCCCAAAAAATATTGACTACTCTGTGAAAACATATAATTTTTCCCCACCAAAAAGAATTAGGAAAAAATAAAGCAACTGGAAGCTCTGCCTCTTGATAATTTGGACTAATTTGGAGCTGATTACGGTCATCTAATAAAGCTGTGGAATAAGATACCAAGCTGTATAACAGATCTTCCAAAGAAAGCTTTCAAAAGAATTATACGCAAATTGCTATTTGATATCTTAGAAAAAGAGGATAACTATATTCAAATCCCCATGATTGTTAAAAAAGTTGGTACATAGATACACTAGCTAAGGGTTAAAATGTCTGCTTTTCTTTTTCTGTGTTATCATTTAAGAGTAAGTGACTCCTTGTCCTTAGATATTAGATAATTTGTATAATTTATGTACTTGTCTTGTCCTGCCATGATTAGCTCTCCAGCTATTTGCAGGGCAAACTATCTCACTTCTCTTTTTTTTTTTATAAAGAACAAGAATAAAGAAAAGAAATAAATAAAAGTGAACTAGTAACTTTAAATAAAGTGAACTTTACATTTAAATAAGGTGAACAAGTAGGGACCTAAGGGCTAAGTAAGGTCTCTATATAATGTTATCCTCCCCTTCCCCATCAAAAAAATATATTTATATTCATTCCTTGGGAACCATGGACTTGGTAAGGACATCTTACTACGTTAAACACAAAAGTAAACGTAAGTGCTTGTAGTATGGGCCTTACAGAGTTGACGTAGAGGTAAGAGAAATTTATCAGCAAGAGAATCTGAGGTTTTGACTCATGCTTTTTGGCTTATTTATTTACCGTGTTATTGATTGATATATATGCACTATGGGTGAAATCAGAAATACTTCTACCACACCCCAGGCATGAGTGGATGTGTGGGGGGAGGGGGTGTCCTTTGAAGCTCTTCCCACCTTGCTTTGCGAATTACAAATTTAATATGGCGGAGGAAGACCACATTTTCCTTGACAGAGCCAACTGAATACAATATAGCAGTACATGGATCGAGATCTGGCAAGTGAGGTTCGTCGATTTGTTCGCGAATGTCAGAATAGGCTGGCAAATGCCTCTAGCTCGAGCGAAGTGATTGAAACATTAAATGACATGGTGGAACTATTTCTGCGAGGATCTCTGCTCCCCTCTCAAGTTTCACTCGAAAATCGTCCTGTTCTGAAGGGTGAATTTGTAAGCAATCACTTTGTGAGGTTCACCGAATTTATTCTATCTTCGCCAGTAATTGGATTCTATAGTAACTTCAATGAGCAGCAGAGAACAAATTTTTTTGAAGTGTTTTTCCTTCGTGGTCCATCACACGATTGTCTTCTTGTTCTGGGAGACGCACTCTCCAAACCGGCGACCAATTTGAAAAATGCTAAGGTGATAGTATCATTGCTAGAGAAGTTCTTTGCTGAAGAAAGATTGGTTGATGTGCTTGTGGAACAATGTCGTTTATCCACGCATTCCCAAAATGGCTCGAGTAAATCCAGTTCAGCAGGGCTTGAAGGTAAACTTTGGGGACAGCTCGTGACTTTGATAGTTTCTCTCCCTCAGAGAGTGGCAAACAAACTAAGATTTAAGTGTAGTTCACAGTTCTACCCTGCGTCTTATTTCAACCTTGTTTCATGTCAAATTCTCAAAGCATTGGAGAAGTTACATGACAACCTAACAATGTCACAGGATTGCTCCTTCAAGTTCCTTGGTGAATTGATTGGTCGGATTTGCCTGGCTGGGCAAGCAGAGAGAATGTTTACTATACTTTTACCAGCATTAGAAAATTGGCTGAAGAAGAGTCCACTTTGGAATAGGATCTGTGCACGACTTATTACAGGGATACCAGACAGTAGCATGGAACATGTTAGCGAAGGCCTGCTAAAGATAGCAGATGACCCCTCCCTAATTTCTAAGCTTTTTGGTGATTCAGTGCTCACCAACTCTAAACTCAAGTATTTGCTGACATCCAAGTTTCTACTGATGAGAAGCTATTCCAATATGAATGTTCTTTACAACATCATAGGATATTTATCTGGGTGTAAGCACAGGCATTTGCTGGTGGAAGTGTTACACACTCTTTTTGACATCTGGGGCGATAGAAGCGCAATTAAGCACACAACATATGACCAGCATTTTTATGTCACGTGTGCAGTAGTTCTCTCATTTGGTCATTTGAACATTGAAGAAAGGAAATCTGAAAAACATGAACTGCTAAACAAGTTGTTAGTTGGCGTGCAGAGTCATTTAGAGAGCCCTTTGGAAAAAGTGCAACATCTTGGCATGGTGGTTGCGGAATGTGTTACATCTTCCCTTGAACCTAATGGGGAGAAACTTGCCTTTGGATATGTGGAAGATGATGATACTAAACTATTGAAATCACTGTCTAAAGGTCCACCGGAGAGGATGGATTTGAGAAATGCAGGAAAGAGAAATGAGCTTAATGTTGAAAGCAAAGGCAATGATAAACTGACAACTGAAGAGAGTTCCTCTGCAAAAGTCTCTACTGAGAAAAACTCTCCTCAGAGTTGTGAAGATGATGATGATTTGGTGCCGTATGATCTCAGAGAAGAAGATGACATGGATTTGAAATCTGAGGCTCCAAAGTATTTGCGAGATTGTATCGAAGGCCTTTTAGCATCAGAAGACCCATCAAAAACGGAAGCATCATTGAAAAATGTGGAGAAACTTGTTTGTGCTGAAATGGATGACCTGGAGGATGTCTGTGAAGAATTAGTGAAAGTTCTACTTCATCTTCAGGACCGATATTCCACTGATATGTTTGGTGAACTACGTCACAGTGCAATAGTTGCTGTGCTTATTAGGTGTCCTGAACAGATTGCTTGTTACTTGACTGAGGAATTTTTTGCTCCAAATTACAATTTACAGCAGAGGATGGACATGTTAAGTTTTCTTGCTGATGCAGCACAGAGGCTTTCAACACCAGTGGAAATAACGAAAACAAAAGAAGTTCCAAGAAGGTTTCCACTCCCTCAAGCAGAATCTTATAAATCTTTGCAAGCCATACCTGAGTGGCAGAAGATTGTACAGGAGAGAATTGATGGTAAAACAAAGAGATTTACCAAGGGGCCATCACACCCTCAACCCAAACCTGTTGCTAACAAGTTTGCTAGTGTGGCTGGATATTTCTTTTTTCCATTAATGAAGAACTTTGACAGCAAAGTGAACACATTGGATCTTTTGGGCGAAGACACACTTGTCCTTGGCAGGCTTGTGTACACTCTTGGAATGATCATGTACTCTGCTAGAGAAACTCCTATAGCCAGGAATATGGGCAAGGCCCTCTTGGAGTTCACTTGGGCTCTGAAGTATCACTCAGAATCATTTGTGCGTCAGGCACTGATCTTTGCACAGGCCATGGTTGCAGTTTCTGTTCCTTCTGCTACTCTTTTGAATGATGCTCCTGGGGAACTCTCTGAGCTTTATGACTGGCTGAAGACAACAGTCCAAAATGATACTGATGCAGACAGTGTGAAGGCAGCTTTTCAGACACTTGTTTTGTTAGAAGATGTTTTTAAGAGTCAAGTTGTTGTGCATGGTTGATCATTGCTGCTTGTCTAAACTTTTCTTGCTGAGGCTTTTTCAACACTTTTGCTGACCTAATTGCACTATTGTGCCCTTTTGTCATTGTAAGCAATGACTTTGCCAGGCTCTTCCTAGTTCTGGATGGGTTATTTTATACCCTGTTCTATTATAACCTATAGGTGTAAACTTTAATTTCCATAACATATCACTATTGTTGTGGATAGTAAAATATAACATCTACTTTTTTTGACAAGAATTTCATAATTAGAATTTCTTATTGCATTGCACTGTTTCATTAGAAATGTAATTGATATTAAAGGATCAAGGCTGCTTCAACTTGAGAAGAGGAAGACTTTAATTTACTTCCTTGTTATGGAGTGCCATCCATTACAGGTTACCTAAGTACTTAATTGGGTTTAAGTTTACTGTTTTTTGGTAAATCCAAGCTTAAACCAAGGTGATCTTGCTTTGGGGGCTGTCTCTCTTAGTCGTAAACCCAGTGCTAAAACTTATAATTGCCAAGTCCAAAGTAACTAAAAAAGTTTAATTTTTACATTACTTGTATTTTGATTTTACCTTCCACATCTTTTAATATTTCCTGGCTTTCAATTTTAAATCAGTTGTTGTTACAATTTTGATTTCATTTACAGCAGATAACAAATAATGATAAAATAATCCTGGCAATATCAGAATGAAAAAGCCCTGTGTCTTAGACCCAAACATTTTGTTAGTGGGCATTCACTTTCATCCTAGACCCGCTGGAACTATTTATGATTGAACCTTCCCACTGAATAAATAATTTTTACCAATCCTCAATTGGAGCACATGTTTAGGTTCTCCATCTTGTTAAGCATCACTTCAGGAGCTCAGTCCTAATAAATAGTTTGCATCTAGGGACTTGTTTTGTTGACCACTGCCTCTTTATTAGGCTTAGTTACTTCAGATTTTCAATAAAATTATTGTATTGAAAAGGTTTTCATTTGTTGATCTCATTGTCTTAAATCAAACCCTTTAACTCCTTAGAGTGACTAGTTTCTCCCCACAGTATCACCCCTGGATTAAAGATGAAGGTTCATGAAAATAAACAAATAATTGCTGACTACAACAGCTCCTGATTAGTGAACAAATTCTCCTTGTAAGCATCTCAAGAAATGTATGGTGAATAGTATGGAGAAAATGCATACTGATACTAGGGTGTAGAAGGTTAATACAATTAATAGTAGGCTATGGCTTGAAGTTTTTTTTTTTTCATGATCCTGTTTGCAAAAATAGAAGAGCTGCAGATGGTAGTGGATAGTATCTTCTTGCAAGGTAACCTATGGTAGGAAAATAACTAAGGGAAAAAAAATGGCATTTTGCTTCCTGATCTTTCTAACAAACCTTCTTACAAGAAATGGCCTTGATAGAGCAGAGTTTCAACTGGATTTGAATACTGTTCTTGCTTTTTGTGTCATGCAATAATGAAGTGACATTCCTTGCTTTTTATAATATCACATTTGAAAGCAGTTTATGAGACTAAAGGCCTTCTTAAGGGAAGATTTCACATAAGGTTGAAATGGAGATGAGATAATGGTTAGGTTTATAATGCTTTTTGTCACCTCTTTGTTGTCAAAAAATTAACATGAAAGTTGCAGCATTCATCCCTAATGAGTCACCATTGGACCCCCATTCAAAACAAATGACTCTTTGCCACACCTTCCCATATAGAAGTCTCAGCGCATGCGTGAAGCCCAATCCAAAATGGCGTCCAAAGGAAAGGGTGGATGGATATGGTCGCCTACATGACATTCCATCTCAAGAAATGTCCCGTCTTGCTGATTATTTTGCCGTTGCTGGAATAGACAGGGACTCAAAGAATGGTTAGAACTATATGGGTTCCCCTCAGCATTGTGTCTCGCTGCTAGGATATCTGTGCAAACATCGCACACCTCTGGAAATTTTCGAGTTTCTTTCTCAACATAAATTGTAACGTTTGATTTTTGTTGTCGATTTGCAGGAGAAGTTAAAGGAAAAGTAATACAACGCTTCCCGAGTAAAGACCGTAAAGATGCAACGTTTCCAGAAGGACTCGAATTGGTAGGTTTGTCGTTATTGAAAGCCGGCAAGTGCAGGGTTTTAAATTCGTGCGTGATCCTTTTGCTGATTCTCTTGTGATCATTTTCTATCGTGGATATACATTGAACACACGGACAAGTTTTGTAAACCTCGAGTATTGTTTTTGTGCCTCTCTTTTACAGCGTTAATATCCGTTTCTCCCAGAATTAAATCAAGGCCGGAGAAGAAATTTTTCTCAGGAGGAGAACGATAGACTTAGCTTTCCTGAGGTCTTTAATTCCTGATCACGTAAATGCTTAATGGTATAACGGGGTAGGAAGCCATAGCTGGCACTCTCTATAGCTTATTCAATTAGTTCAGAAAGGATTTTTGGCTTTTGATTTCGTTCGTAGAGCAGCCTTTGGTATTAAGTATGGCTTCTCTAAGGAGGGAAACCTTTATACACTCTCGGCACCGAAGCTCATCATTGTTTAAACTCGCTCTAGACATGATTGAATCTCATTTTAGCGTGTTTGCTGTCGTTATTGTAGTTTAGTCTCAGTGTGATGCCACAGAATTCTTTTAGTTATAGCCTAAAATATACTTCTTTTCATACACTCCACAGTACTTAATATTAACAACTAATATACGTAAAGGTCTTCGCCGTTTGTCCTCTCTATTTTAAACCATTGAAGATTCACTTAAACTTCGTACTCCTGTTGAGGATATTTTTCGATGTGTGGCGTCCAGGCTCAATATTTGCTCTGTTTGTTTGCATTTTATTAATCCCCTTGTAGCTTGTTAGGTGTGTTTTAATCTCACCTTTCAAAGATGCGGGAAAATCCTTTACTCATTCTTGAAATTTTTCTTTGTATGTTGATACTCGATATAAACAAGCTTGTTGATTTCGCCATCGATTCACTGAACGTTCGAGTGCCGATGAAATTCACCAGGCAGCAGTTTTTATGATAAAAATTATATGAATATTCAGGACTAGGTTTCATAATGTGGTTTTGTTCTATAAAGTATTACAAAAAAAGGTGTTTTCTCTTTTTCTGTGATTGTTTCTAGGTGTTTTTAGGTGTATTACTTCCTGGTTGACTCTGTTAATGGTGATGAAATATCATATTTTCTCCTGAAATGTGATATGCTCTAAATTTATAGATAGATACTACTAATCTTTGTCCTGTTGTTTAATATAAATTACATACTTGGCTAAATTCATATAATTTTTCCAACTTGAAATATCTACTTTTGATACACATGTTTACCACAAAGTGAATGGTGCTTTGCGGTCGCTGATTGGCTAGTGTGGAAGTGAGTAACATGTACTGTTCGCCTTTGAGCAGCTGATGAGTCAAAATCATGTTTCAAGAGTTTAATTTGCGACTCTTTTTATTGAGAGAACTAAACTAATTTTTTGGTATCTGTGTGGTACAGACTAAAACAACCACTCACCTCATTGTGGGTGGAAGTGGTGGATATTTGCCCAGCTGCAAAGCAAATAATTGTAAAGACCTGTTTCGTTTCACTGAAAAAAATTGAAGGAGAAATATTTTTGTAAACAGGGGTCATTGAGTGATAACTGTCCCTTGATTATACCACTTGAATTAAATTAGCTAATAGAGTTGCATGAAAATTAAGGGTGGGTTACAATGTATCATAATTGATTTCTGAGGCAAACTAAAAATGTTATTACTAAGCCTTTGAACAAAATTACTTCAGACGAGAGAAACCAATTTGTTTCTTTTTTTTGTGGTCAAAAACAAGAGGTGTCACACAGTTTATTCTCAATTTTGAATGATATTTTCTGTAGTTTTGTCAACCTGGAGGATGGAACTACTCAAATTACTACAAACCACCAACTTTCTTTGTTGCTGTTCTCACTGATATGGAAGGAGATCATCGATATTGTGCCTGCTTCACATTCTATGAAAAGTGCAGTCCAGCCAAATCCAAACAAAGAGCAGTAAAGTCCCCCAACAGGGAAGTTCATAAGGATGGCAGTCAATCAGATTCTTCATTATCCGATAAGAGATTTTCGGATGGTGTGCCTGGAATAACAATCAATTCAGAAGATTCTTCAATGACAGAGATGTTTGCACCAAAGTGCTTGTGTCTTGTGTCAAGAGCAAGCTACTTTGACATCTTAAAGGTTAGAGCCTGTCTCATGTTGGTGAAAAAGAGCTTAAAACACCCCTCCTTCATTAATAATGGAAGTCAGCAGTGTCATCATTTGAAAATGCTATCAAGAAAAGTAGTTTTTTCCTGTTCCTGGGAGTTCTAGGAAACTGCATACATTTTGATCTAATACAGGAAGTACTTCTGTTGTCTTGAAAATGTTTTAACCCTTTCACTCCCATAAGTGACCAAGACAGAATTTCTCCTTACAATATCAATACAATATCAAGCAGGCAGGTGATGAGAATAGAGAAGAATGTCAACCATGGGATTATTAGTTGATCTAATACCAAATTCTCTGAACTAACATCATAAGAATTGTATGGAAGATAGTAAGGAGAACTACTAATTAGATCTTGGGAGTGAAAGGGTTAAGTGTCTAGGTCACTTCTCCAGAGTAAACTCATTGTTCTCATTCATACTGATCCAGTGGTAAAAAAGTACAAGCTATGAAATAGGATGACTATCAATACAAAAAAAAAAAACAACAACAACAGAACAGCTGCTGATAAAAATTGATCAATATTTGATTAGTGTGGTTTTCAGTTGTAGATGCCTCAAGTAAAAATACAGACAAATCTCTGGGTTTGAAGAGCACTCAATTTAGAAATGTAGCTTTGTGTTATTTTAGATGTTACTGTCAATAACTATTTTGTTTAATTGAATTTTAATTATTGATATGATATATATTGTCTAATTATTTCAGAGCTGCCTAATAACCATCTATTGGTCATTTCTGTCCGAAAATGGTAAATCCTTAGAGGGACTAGTTGGCTGTGTCCTTGGATTTGTTCAGGTTCCGCCCCCTGGGGGTCCAAAGATGACCTTTTCCATGGGTGCAGGTGATCGGCAAACCCTCTCCCCTCCTGCATCTGAAACTCTTCCAGTAACAGGAAAATCACTCTCTATCTTGTTCAATCAGCTTGGTAAGTGTTGAATTGTCATGAGAAGACATTGAAGGAGCTATGTCCCTTTTACTTCATGATATGATGTCAGTCACACTGTGAGGATTTGACGAGGATTTGAATTAATTTATGCATTAAAACTTGAATTAAATGTGTCATCACCTGCCTCTCTTACTAGGTTTGCTTCTATGCCTAAAGTTGTGTTGTAGTCTTTTGTTCAAATATCTACATCTACATCTACATTTATTGAGTTGATAAAATCTTGTTAGATATCACATCAACTATCTTGGAGGTGCTACGAGGGCCAAAATTTTTGTCTGAGTACATGTAGTTACCAACATAATTCAAAATGGCGTCTGTTGTCAGGCTGTAGGCTTCAATGATCTAGCTGGTTTTTTCCTTTATGCACTTCATCCTTGATCAAAATAAACCCTTGTAGACCTCAAAAAAAAAAAAGAGGAAATGTGTGGAAGAATACTCAACTGGAAAGGAGATGGCTTCAAAGTCTTAAATGGAAATGAGAACACTCACTCATGCATTTCAAGAGAGGATATCACAACTCATTAAGAAAACATGCACTCTCCCATACTGCAAAGGCTGTATTTTGGCCTCTCACTCAAGATAGCTTTATTGTTAGTTAGTGATACAATGCATAATAAACGTATTTTGAATCTGTTGACAGGAATCCACAACATGCTGTCCCTCTTTTGTGCTGCATTGACGGAAAACAAAATCTTATTTTATTCAAGCAGCTACGCACAGTTAACTAATGCTACCCAGGCCATGCTGGCTTTAATGTATCCTCTCAAGTTCAGGTTAGTCAGAAACGAGTCCCTTCTGAGAGAGTGCTTTACAAGAAACAATTCTGAGATAGTTATGGTTTAGATGGCATAGTGGAGGGGTGTCCAATAGAATTTGGTGTGTTGTCATTTGAGGGCACAAAACATAATTGATTTCAGGGAAACTTCCTAGACTATGGAAGAGACTAACTGACAAACCTAATCCACATGTACTTCAGGTTCAGGAGTCTATCGAAGGCTACAGTGGTGGAAGGTGAACTCTCTAACCAATTCAACAGTCTTGCCCCAACCCTCCCCCATCCCATCTGCTTTGAACCTCAGGTTCTATACATGTTTTTTGTATGACTATTTCTATTTGAGAAAACTTGTTAAGCAAGAAAGAATAAGGTGCAGGGTTTTAGCAAAGGTGGTCACACAACTGAAATGAGTGAACATAACATGCTTGTCAGAATGAACACTTGGGCAACTGGATTTCCAAGAGACTGTAGACTAGAAATGAGTGTGCATTTGATCATGTGATGATTAATATTTATTTTTATTTTTTGGCAGTTATGTGTTCATTCCAATACTACCATCTGCACTACTTGATTTTTTGAGTGCCCCAACACCATTTATCATGGGTATACATGAAAGCTACAAAGATTACCTGGCGTCAGATTTGGTGAGTGATGATTGATTCACCTGTTATGTACACTTGGCCAGTGAATATTGTTATTTTTATATGGGTAGATTCATGAGCTGGGAAAATAAGGAGAATCGTGTATTTTGATTGACTATCTATGCCGACAAGAAGGGCCTATCCTGCTTGCCCTCAGTTGCCTGCCTGGTTCCAGTAAGAATAATTGGAGGGCAGCTTAGTATAGAACTTTTTGGTTAACAGTTTCATGTTACCACTGCAACATTTTTTTGGTTTCTATCCCAATGTTTATGTTTGGCAGTTCAAGTATGACTTGTAAGTGAGTGAAATGATGTATCAGAGTTTTGATTACTGTGTATTGTTCTTGCAGACTGATGTAATTCTTGTAGATATTGATGGAGGACATGTCAGCATTCCAGACTCTATCAATCTTCCTTACTTGTCAGAACCATTTCTGAGTAGAGCAAGGCATGAATTAACCATGGTAAGTTTAGCAGCACAAAGTAGGAACTATGGGAAAAGTGTCTCATAGTGTTAAGTAAAATTAGATTTATTATTATGTCTCCTCCAACAAAAAATTGCAAGCATATAAGGATTAGTTTAGCTTGTCAAGTAATTACCATCATTTAATTCTAAATGTTGTACTAAAGAATGCTTGTTGCTTTGAAGGTGTTATATCCTCAACTAGTAACTGCAGATTGTGCTTTCCAGACACCAACTTCACCATCACTCCCAGTCCTTCAGGTTTGTTGAGTGTTAGATGAAGATAAATTTGGGCCCATAACTTTGATTTGTTTAGTATTTACTTCCTTTTTTATCCTTGTAAAGTTTTGAAGTTAACATTATCTGTTTCAATTTTACAGGATAAGGAGCTACGTGCTGTGTTCATTAGATTGGTTGCACAAATGTTCTCTGGCTATCGCTCATGCCTAACTTTGATCAGGATCCATCCCAAGCCTGTTATTACATTCAATAAGGTATGGTGTATTGACCAAAATATTATATTAATAGTTGATCAGTAATACTCAGCCATAAGAACAGGTATTGACTGAAGAACAAGTGGCAGGCTTTTGTAAAAGAGTAGGGTTGCTTCAAAATTCAATGCAAAAGTGACCAAAATGATTGTAAATGGGACAGGGCCCCTGAGATCCAGTTGGCAAATGACACACTAGTACAGTGTAGATTGCTCTTGTGTGTTAGCTACAGTTAGTAAGTTCCAGAAGGGCAACTGCTTGTAATTTTACAGGCAATTATTGTTTGGAAAACTACATGGATCAATAATATTTTTTTTAATACAGTGCATGGACACTGTGTGTTAAGTGAGGTTAAAATATGTGTAAACTTTACATACACACTGTACTGCTCAAACAGTACTTAATCTGCTTTAATTCCTCCAACAGTTCTGTACATTTTTAACTCTGACCTCTCAAATTTACAGTTCTAGACCTATCATGCCTGTTGGGTTTGACGTCAGAGAGTTCCCTTCTCTTAATAGTGCTTGAGATCCATGCAAAAAAATTGTTATATCAGAGCCTCAGGCTAGTATGACTGCCACCAAGTATATGTGTCATTGTCATGTGAAATTTTATATTTGTTTAAAAAATCTTTTGGGTGGGTTGATGTAGACACAAAAATTAGTAGTTTGAACATTCACATTTTCTTTTTTATGTAGGTGTCTTTCCTGGAGAACAGAGGTTTGGTAGGGGATGTATTCCTTTCCAAGGTAATTTATTGCTGTTATTTCATGCCTAGTATGAAATATAGACTTCATCACCTGCTACATATGACCATATTCATCAACTCTTCGGTGCATTTTTGCCCAAGTGTTTTTAAAACATGCTACATGTATTTGTGTTTAACCACAGACATACAAATGTTTGTCTCTTATGGCAAAATCATGGTAAGATCAAGGCCAAGCATCACTACTGAGCAAACTTGCATAAATGCAATTTTCAGTTGAGTGTCAAAAGGAAGCTGGGATTTCTTTAGTTTTTCTTTATTTGGCTCTGTGATTGGTCATTAAAACTTTCCTCACACTCTCAACCAATTGGCTGTTGGTATTATTTGGTACTGGTCACATGACCCATAATCAAAATGTGATCTATGATGTTCAAGGTGCTAAGTTATGAAGCCCCTCCTTTCAAAGGCATCCTTGCAGTCATTGTGGCAAGTGTGTAATATCTGGAGGAAAACCAATAGAGTGCAAAGAATTAAGCAACCAATTTCTTCATTTTGAAATGCATACTATGTGCTCAAACATTGTTATCATCATGTAATCTATGCCTTTTACAAACCTTTGAGCAGAGTCATAGGAACACTGTGAAGCAAAGCTTTTTACTGGGGAATGTCTGTTTAATACAACCTTTAAGAAAACTTTTTGAGCCAAGAAGAGATGTCTTAATTTCCTCCTTCACACAACACCTGTGCTTATAATGTTAGACATGCATCCTGCAAACTCTAAATGTTTTAATTCTCAGGAGTAGATCATCCTGAAAGTCTTTAGGACACTGACAAGCAGACATAAGGGGAAATTTTTTCATGAAATCTTAAATTCTCATGTCTCACTGGTAAAGATGTGTATGGTACTATTTAGGGGAAGTAGAGTAGAATTAAGATCTCGGGAGTGGAGGGGTTGAGTGCTGGTTACTGGTATGGGAGTTATATTATATTTCATGTCACTGACTCAAACTGAAACAATGTTTGGCTTTTTCAGGTTTTAGAGAGTATTTCCTTCTTGTCCTTTGTGGCTAGTCGTGGTCCCCCATACAGGTCCTGTGACCTCTTTGATCAGGTACGAAATTGTTCAATATTTTCCACTTCTATGCAGTCCTTTTAGGGTTGTCAAATATGTTTTCCACTATTGAATTGGAGGATAGCTTGTGATGCTTTTTTAAAATTTGTCATTTCTAGCTTTGTGTGGAGATTTATAGCATTCTGATTAGTGAGAAAGGATTGGATCCTGAGGTGCAGGCTAACATTCAACAACTTGCCCAGAAGCTGTATGACAATGTGAGTGGCTCCTCGATTAAGTTTCAATATTAATAATAATAATGTAATAGTGTAGTTTGATCGTCCAGGTGAGTTTAGTCCTGAGAAGGACTGTTGTCAGTTGTCACCACTACCAACAACAGTCCTTCTCAGGACTACACTCACGCGGACGATCAAACTACACTATTACATGTTACCCCCGGGTTCAAACCATTTACTGTAATAATAATAACGATGATAGGACTGAGTGGAGTCCAATTCTGTTTGTAATCATATGAATGATTAACAAAATTAGATGACCCTGAAGCAGGAGTCTGATTTGTTAATCATGAGTATGACTACAGACCAAATTGAACGGCACGAAGTCTTGTTACCAATTAATCAAAATTATGATGAAATTTGAGAAAGAAAGAAAGTGGACTTCAGTTATACATTTTCATAAAAAGGCAATAGTAAACTTAGCAAAATGCACAATTACAGCACATGCACATGACACATACTATACAGTTACACAGGCATGACCTGTCAACTGTCTTATTACACTGTCCAATAATGAGTACGATCCCATAGACTGTCCTATAAGTGCTGAAATTGGGCTGGTGGTAACCAATCACATTCAATAATTTTTCTATAGTTTTGATTTACAATTGTAACAATAAATAATAAAGATGATGATTTCTGTTCCAAGGAAAAAGCCAATAACACCAAAAATAAAGGTGATTGGTTAGTGGTTTTGTGGTTTTTTATGTCCTGAACATTATTTTGATTGGTCAGTGCACAGTTGACTGAAGTCTCACTAAGATATTTATTAAAAGAAACAATCAAAGATACATAACTATTTTTCTCATTGTTTTTGGAGTCTCACTGTGATATTTATAAAAGATACAATGAAATATACATCACATCAATCAAGTGGCCAGCCCTTTACACCCCAACATCTTAAATGGTGATCATTTCCTTTGTTCTTTTGAATTTGACATTTTTTCCTGGGAAGGTTTTGTGAGGAGAAATTATGCTAGTGACTGTTAGGGGTTGAAAGGTTAATAGACAATGATTTAAAACCATGACTTCAAGTAGGGATGAACAGATTGCCAGGAAAGATCTTTCTGAATTGACTGTGCAGGTCAAGTTTGGTTCTCAAAGAAAATGATGTGTCAATTTAACACTTACTGAAAATATTACTTTTTTATGGCATTGGGGTGGACACCAGAAAGTTGAAGGGCAAGAGGGAGACCAAAGGCCACTTGCAGAAGGACTGTTGTAAGAGAGAGAGGCAAGGTGGGGTGGAAGAGCTGAAATTTGGCCAAGGTGGCAGCACCTGACAGGGGGGGTTGGGTGGACAATGTGACAGCCTTATGCACCTACTGGCGCAGCGAGCAATGATGATGATGATGATGATAATGATGAAAATGAAAGTTTTAATTGAATTTTTTTTTTTTGTTTAACAGGAACCTTCTTGTGAATCTGCTGAGAACAATATTCTACCACCTATTCCTGTAGAGGCAATAGAGAGGTGCAGCCCGAAGGTTTTTCCAGAGCTTAATGGAGATGCCATAAGCCGGCACTTGAATCAACAGGAAAATCTTCCTTTGGATTACACAGCAAAAAGTGTGGAGCCTTGTGTCGTGCCTTCAAATCCTATGTCAAGTAGGCAACAGCATTATATTCCGAGTCGAAAGCTTGAAGTGTTGAAGGATTGTGTTGCATACATCTTTGACAACCAGATTTCTGAGGCTAGAAAGGTAAACCTTTTATATTTTGTTCTTCTTTTGCTGGCTGTATGCAGCAGCTGGATACTGTATATTTCTCACAGATGTTAGTCTTTGTCCTGTCTCAATGTCATACTTCAGATCTTTGTTCACGGTTACCAGAGTAGTTTCTTCCCTGCGGTTTCTAAATCCAGCTTTTCACTATCTCAAAGATTTTTGTACAGATCTCTAACTTATCATCATTTTCTCATTTGCTATTTTAAAGATTTTAAACAAATTTGAAACTCAAGTTTTCAAACAGCTTCTTTACAGTGTGGAGCTCTTTCATTGAAGTAGAAACAGTAGAAGCAGTGATTCTCCACCAAATGTATCAACACATTCTAAACATCTTTGGCCTTATTGCACTTGAAAAACATTTTCCCAGATCATTTTGGTCTAATGCAGTAGAATCCCAACTTCCCACTTCCCCTTAGTTTCTTGAGAACCAAAACTAGCTTCCTTTCTCTACCAAACACTTTTATCCCTGAATTCATGGACCTCCCTTAAAATTGAAAAGTTTCTTTTTTTCCGGAAATTTGGAAGAATCAGGATTCCATTGTAATTGGATATGCTGTCTTTGCTCACAATGTTTGAACAGTGTGAAGACGTTTAAATGTTAACTTGACATTAGTCAAAACATTCACATTTACCTTTTTTTCCAAACAGTCACTTCCCTCCGTGGTCAGAGGTCTGAAGTCCAAAGGGGCCCAAACAGCTCTGTGCCATGAATTGTCCCTCAGGGCTAGACAAAACAGATCACTTCTGGAACATGATCAGTTTGATCTGGTTGTGAGACTTATGAACAGTGCATTACAGGTTTGTTCTTCAGACTGTTGTTATGAACAAAAACTCCAAATGGGCAGTTGTTACTTAAATTTCACATCCACTTACCCAGGAACTTCTATTCAGTGCTGTTGCAATTCTGCTGAGCCCAGATAAAGATCTTTCCAGGGGATATTGCTATTTAATAACCTTTGAACAACCAGGGCCTGGTGGATAAAATTAATTGTCTTGATTCTTGCCTGTTTGGAGTTTAAGGAACAAAAGATATTACAGACGACATTCTTTTTTTCCAATTAATGTGTATATCTGGGTTAAATAAAGATGGTGGTAAACCTGTTTTCAAAAGCTTGGAGGCTGGCTTGGGTTGAAGAGTTTTGCTGACTGATAAGCTGTCATAGTTGCACTTATAGAAAAGATCTAGTCATCCTCAGTGATCTCCTCTTTTTTTGTTTTTTTCTTCATAACCAATTGCTCCATGAATAATGATTGATTTAACCACTAGAGGTAATGTATTGTACAGTAAAGCATCCATGTAGGAATCCTCTCTTTAGGGATAACTAAGTCCTCTTTATTTCATGCTTGAGCAGAACATATGGTGGACCTTGTTCCCTCTATAGGCTTTGCATGCCTAACTTTATTATAGCACTGAGTTGTAGTGGTGATAAATTGACACCCTTCTGTGATTTCTTTTATTAAAATTGATGGTTAACTTGATTTACAAACAAAAAAAAAACTGTAATGTTTGTATCTATAAGAAGCACCAAGTTGTAGCTGTGATGAATTACCACCCTTCTGTGATGCTTTTTTTTTTAAATTGAGAACTTTATTTACAAAGAAAAAAAAGAAAAAGAATTGTAATATTCGTATTGTGTGAAAGGCAAGAAAATATGTCTTTTTTTTAGGATGATGCAAGTATGAGTAACACATCTGTAGCTGCAGCTCTTTTACCCCTTACAGCTACGTTTTACCGAGTGAGTGAATTTTCTTTCTTGTTATTGTTTTTTTGCAGTCTTATTGGTCAAAAATTGTGTTTTTCTTGAAAACAGTTTTGGGAGGTTCCCTTCACTTAACTCTGTTTATATTGTGATTATCAGAAACTAAATGCTGGTGTGATCCAGTTTGCTTACACTTGTGTCCAAGAGCATCCAGTTTGGGAAAGACAACAATTTTGGGAGGAAGCCTTTTACTCTGATGTTGAGTCTCAGATCAAACAACTCTATGTAGATGAAGAAGCTCCAAAAGCCAATGCTGAGGAGACATTGGAAAGAAAGGAACAGCGTACCTCACGGAGCAGCTTGACACCTTCAGCAAAACATCGCAGTTTCACAAGGAGTAGAGATAACCTTTCTTCCACACCCAAGGATTCAGGGAGTTCAATTGACATAGACCAGTCCTCTCGAGAAGAGCAGAAACCAGTCCCAAGTGCACTGAGTATTGCTGCCAAGCAGGTTTGTGCTTTGCCTTTATCATCACTGCACATGTCACATTTGGTTATAATAAATTCTCTGTTGTAAAAAGACTCAATCGCATCCAAAAGGGGAAAAGGGTGAATTTTTTCAGCAAACAGCTGTTAACTCTTTCACTCCTGATACCTCACCTTTAATTCTCCTTAAAATTCCTATGATGTTAGTTCAAGAATTTGGGTATTGGATCAACTAACAATCCCTTTAGTGACATTTTTCTTTATTCTCATCTCTAGTTTGTCAGACATTCTATTGATATTGTGAGGAGAAATTCTGTTTTGGTCACTTGTGGGAGCTAATGGGTTAACTAGGTGTGCGAAATTTTTGCCACCAAATGCCATCCAGAGTCACTCTGGTGATCATATGGGGTAGAACATCACACTTTTTTAGTTTGAATTACATGTATTTGGGTTTTCAAAAAGCCAAGATTGGAAAAAAATCAGTATCCTTCTAAAGGATTTAAACGAATCTATTTTGTGGTGGTTATTGTAGCTTAAGAAATGGCCACACTACAGTGACGATGAGAAAGATTCTCTGATAACAAGTGAGGAAGGCATTGTATACAGTCAAGCCATCCACTATGCCAATCGAATGGTGTACATGAGGATTCCCCTGGATGCTAGTGAGAAGATGCCACGACCCCCTCCTGCTGCAGGTAAATCAGATTAGGGGACATTGTGAATGAAAGGAATAGTTAAATGATCTTTGTCCTTGTGTCATGAAAAATTTAACATGTCTCTTTTTTTGGAAGGCGGGGGGAGTACCCTAATTTGGTATCCAAAATACAGGGACGTGTGAGGGGGGAGAAGGTGTTTTTCATGTCTGTCAGTAACATAATGAGAAGTGAAGCAATCACATGCCTGCAAACAAACTATCTCACTTGAATTTGGTGCCAAATCAAAGAAATCAAATTGGAAATCAATTTTGTTATGTGGAATCCTTTATTGGTCACCTCTGGGAATGAGAGGCCATCTTCACACAGGATGTTTTTGATGTCAGTAATCCCAGGATGCTAGCATACGATCAGACCCTCATTATAATTGACTCTGTAGGATGCGCTTTTCTTCGCTGGCAGGGTGAGTCAAAACAAGTTGGGGAGAGGTTTGTGGGGGGGGGGCCTGGCACCGGTAATGTGAGACCCTTTGTGGCCCTCTTGCCAACTTGCGTCGCTCAAGGCCTGAGAGTTTCCTGTACTGTCTAGACATGAACTTCTGTGTTTCTTTGGGAAAAGAAATGCCTGTGCCAAAGAGCTGATAATGATGGCGTGTTCGCTGGGTATGCTTGTCATATGTGAGCTTGTTATGTGGCCTACACTGCAGCTTTCCATGAGTCCTCTGTGGCATGATTAGTAGCACATCCAACCACAAAGCTGAAACTGGTTAGGGAATGAGTCCACTGAGGTTTCTAATGTCATGAAAAATACATAACATATTGCATTTACGGTGTGTATTTTTTTTTTCTGTCTCTGCTGTCAGGTACACAAATAGATGGGGAGGGGTCTGTCAGTGGCACCTATGCTGGGAGTATTGTCAATGGTTTGGCAGGAGGTAGGTGTCATACTGTAATTAAGCATTCTTGATTTGACCCTTTTTACTCTTGACCTTTTTCTCTATACACTCCTTATGTTACTGATCAGGAGAATTCATTCAATAATCATAGGGTTCATATGTGGGAAGCATGTCTTTTGTTCTGTTGACCTCAATGTTTGATTTAGGGGTGATACTGTAAGGAGAAACTAGGTGCTAGTCACTCTTTGGGGTTGAAGGGTGAAACCGTTTGTTTGAATTCCTCGATGCCTGCATGTAACAGGCACGAAAGTGTCCAAGAATGAAGATGTATGCCAGGGATGGATACTGAGGGAGTTAAGGGAAGTTGTCATTAGGTTGCTGAAATAAAAAATGTCAAAAAATATCACTATGCACTGGAAGTCTGAACCAAATTGGAAGTCCAGCTTGCTCCATGTGCAAACGTCTCTCTGTGTTTTCACTTTACCATTTCTATCTTTTGACTCTTAATTTTTTGGGTTTTTAACCACAAGAAATTTCTCCTTGTCTTGGGCATCCTGCCCAGAGTTAATTTGTGACCCTGGTGGAAGAATAGCCTCGCATTCGAGAAAGGGTTAATAAATTTTCCACACAGGCCTGTTATACAGAGTAAGGAACAAGAAACAGTGGAATAAAATTTATACATTCATTTCATACTTAATTTTTTTTTAGGGAGTAGTGAAGTTGGCAGTTGTATCACAGACAGTGGTGGATGTGATATCTATATGGATGATGAGGATGGTGGAACTATTGCTGACCAAGTGACAAGATTTGTCAGTCGGTTTGTGGATCGTGTTGGCACAGAGGCTGGAATTAGTCAAGTGCATCTTAAGTCTCTTTACACCATGATACCAGGTCAGTGTTATTAGGCAGTGGACAAGAAGAGTGGAAAATCTAACAATTTTAACACAGCCAGACCCTTACATGAACTCGTTATTTCTTCAACCTGTGTTGAAATTTGACTTGCCTTGTATTTTGTATTTTCAGATGCAAACAGAAATTTTCTTTGTTATGTTGGTTTGATGTGCATAAACATGACTGAATTGTAGCTTTAGAATACAGACTGCACGGTTTTTTTTACCTTCTTAATTTTTTTTTCTTGTTGTTTTGTTTTTTGCTTTGATGGGAAACAGGAGTAGTTGCGATGCACATAGAGTCATTGGAGCCAGTTTATCGTGAATACAAGAACTTGGCTCCAATTCAAAAGGTTGGTACTAAGTACTTGAAATATATGACAACTCTGAGTATTTAGATTGGTTGTTCGTGGCTTTGATGAGGGAAGATTCTATTTGATATAAAAACAAAAAAACGCTCATTCCTGAATGAAATTTTATACTAAAAAAAAATCGGCTGATTTCGGGAAGGTGGGGGATTTTATTGACCAAAAGAGTCCAAGAAGCCAAAATTTTTTTGGGGTGACAGTTTTTCATTAATTTTATTGGTCAGGAAATCTGAGTGGGTGTCGCAGTCACAGTTGCTGACACCCATTCCAACTTGCTGTGACTGTCCCCTGTTTGTCACTCACCGCAGGCCAAGATCATGAGACCCGCCCTGTTGGTGGGGGAGGATATGATGAGCGACGGACTCCGTGCTTACCTCATACCTGACGGGAGGGAGCTCGGCAAGGGAGGAGACGATCAGGGTGGGGCACGTCTGTTGCCCGCTGAAGGAGCAGTATTTCTGACAAACTACAGAGTGATTTTCAAAGGGACGCCAGTAGATCCATTTGGTAAGTTTCTTCCGGCAATTTTTTTGTGCTTTTGATTTTTTAATTATTTAAAAGAGACCGCTCAACCTTTACTGACGATAACTTCCACAAAGGAGCATGTGGTTTTGTTGCCTTCAACATAAAACCCTTACATTTTTCTCTTATCATTAGTAAGTACTTTTAATAGATGGAAATCTTGTGACATTCCTATTTTATAAGCTTTTGAGAGGTTAGGCTGTAAAACTTACTTGACGTTCACTTTTTATATCCCATTTACTTTAAGGAACAAAGCGATATTGAGTAAACAAATCCCTTTGGGCGGCTGGTATGTCGGCTGATAATGTCCGTGGCTGGTAATTTGTCCGAAAAATGAATATTTGACCGAGAAGCGATGTTAAATGTTAAATTTTGAGGACAATCTCCTAGCCAAGGACATTATCAGCTGACATGCCACAAGCCAGAAAGGGGTTTTAACTATTTCATAATCCTCCTGTAAGTTTTCAAAAATCGCTCGTAAAAAAAAGAAGTGTTGATGTGATTGCGGATGCGTATATGCGACCAGCTTTTTAATATCACCGTCACTGAAATCTACAAAACGAGTTCGGTTTCCTTCCGTGTATATTAATAGAGATGAAGATGATGAAACTCTTGAGCAGGCTTTGTTTCTTTTCGACGGAAATAATCGGAGGACATACTGATGTAGATGGGGATTATCGCTTAATAACTGTACGGTGATTAAGAGTAGCCCATAAAATCGCGCGCAAAATTATTGGGTGTGTCGTAAGCTTTAGTTATGCCTCGAAAATCCCCTAGTGAACAATTAAGAATTACAGAACATGAATTATCGATAAACCGGCCAGTGCCATCTACCCAAATTCAGATGGTGCTGTTATGCTTCATTTTTTCTGTTATCGTATAGTTACTTCCGAGTGGTGTGAATGGTGAATGGTGAATGGTGAATGGAGTTACCTTTTTCGTTTTTCAGCATCTGAGATGATTGTGACTAGAAGTTTTCCTGTGGGATCACTTGTCAAGGAGAAGAGGATTGGAGTGCAGTATTTACAGCACCTGGAACAGTGGCTGCACGAGTGTATTCAGCTCAGATCTAGTACTTTTCAGGTTACTATTGATTCAATACCTTTTTTGTCTTGATTTACATTCCTGCAGTTTATAAAGTAATTTCAACAACCAGGTTATTTCAAGTTGACAAGTTTGAAATACAAAATAAGATAGACACTACTCGTTGTTAGCTGTAGCTAGTCGTGGCGAGCTTTGGTTTAAAGCCCTCGCAGAATATTTAACCTAATTTTTGCAAAAATCCAGCAACACAGAATGAAAAGTAATGGTTCTGATAATTGGTCTGAACTGACATTGGAATCCTTGAGATTCTCCGCAAACGGAATGATTAAATTTTTGTGTCGTATATGTGAACAGTCCTTTGCAGGCAAGCAGAAGATAACCATAGCAACATAACCTGTAAAACAGGTTCTGAAACTTACAAGCAAAATTTTTAGCGGCAAGAGACAAACCAACCTCTTGAGCGAGCAGCAAATAGTTCATTGCAAATGCACTTAGCATTTTACACTGACCTACCAGAATTGATAATAGTGCCAAACATTTGCTTGATTTTCACTATACCTGAGGTTCTTCTGCATTTGCATGAAAATTATCCCTTTTTCATTTTCTTCACCCTACAGATGATGAAATTGGTTTTTGACGAGGAGGTTCAACCGGAAAACATTGAGACATTTCGAAAGACATTGCAAAGGAGACGTTCACCTACTACGGTTTTCGGTACATTTGCCTTCTGCGGCAAAGGCGTTCCAAGGACGCCGACGTTTGTCATTGAAAAACACATGGAGAGACAAGGAACTCTTCGAAAATCCAAGAAGAAACTCGCAAATGCGTCACGGAACAAGGCAGGTAGCATCGCTCAGATTCGGGAATCTCTCCGAAAAAAACGCCACCGGCACAATACGTCAGATCCACAGAGTCTGGACCACAGATCACCAAGTGGATCCCTCACTACGGATGATGATGAATCTGTGGTCGATGTAAATGACATTTCCCTCAAAAGCGAACCTATTGTCGTTCATGGGGCTGAACGGCTCAGTAAGTTGTCCTACTGCGGTGACTACTCACGTCTTAAACTTGGAAATATTGCCAAAGACTCTGCAGACGGACCTTGGCGGATTTGCATGGTCAATGTCACATATACTGCGTGTAGAAGGTGAGGATGAAGTCTTGTTTGTTAGGGTGAAAGTAAGAGAAGAGTCTGCGTGCTTGACTGGCTTTTATCGTTGCCGGAGCTTTTCCCGGTTTCTTTAGCATGAAACAAGCGAGTTTTATTCTCTATTTCGCCCCAGATAGAAGACCAATCCATCGCAGGTTTTCACTCCCTCTCCCCCTCCCCCTCCCCCCGACCCATCCCTTGTCATGTGACAGGAAAGAGAGTAAGTACGAGGGCAAAAATAGTGTCTTGGGGTACAATGGGAACTTGGTTGATTTTCATTGAACAATTACAGTCTTTTCTCGAGGAAAAGAAGGTAATGGAAAGTTTCATCTTTGTTGATTTGTTTCACATTTCACTGCAGAAAACCGGTTTGGTTCATTTGTTCGTTATGACGGGGCGGATTTTATGTTCAGGCGCCTGATTGTGACAGTGATTTGGTTTAATCTGGGTTCGGGATCCTGAAACTGCGCCATGTCAGTCTGTTCTTATTACACCTGTTTTTCTCCACAGTTACCCATCAGTGGTTGTAGTTCCACAAAGCATATCAGACGATAGCATTCTCAGAATAGCCAAAAACCACCGCCAGGGCAGGTTTCCTGTTGCAGTGTGGAGACACCAGCGGAACAAAGCCACACTGCTTAGAGCTGGTGGTATTGAAAGGAGTACAATTGGATCAATCATGCGTCAGACCAAAAATGTAGGGCAGGGAGGTGTAGCTAGTCACGCCATCTCTTCATCTGCCTCAGCTGAACAAGAGAAGTATTTTAGTGCCGTTGGTGAGTAGTTAAAGACAACGTCATGAAGGAGCCCTGATATCTGCGTGACACTTTAACACTTAAAGTAACGTTACAATTTCGTTACATATTTACTCATTTCGTGTTGATTTATATGTCGCTGCTTCAATAACAGTCGGTCTCTGCTTATTATTTTTGACTTTTCAGTTTCGTTTAGGGCGCTCCTGTTAATTATTAAGTACTGTATCATTTGATAAGCGGTTACTTTCGGTTATAATTTGAATCGCCATTGCGTTACTAAGAGAACGGAGGGGACGAACATGATTTTAAGTGACAACTTACTCGTGGTAATGCTAAGGCAGCCACTTCGTGGTCGTCGCTGTTAAGTTTTCTGTCGAGCGTATATGGTGCGGAGTACGCGAAAGTATTGTCGTTGGAGAGCAAAGTGGAATGTTCTAGAGCGTGCCTAAATGGTGGGGGAAGGGAGAGAGGGGAGGGGAGGGAATGTATCTTTGGGTGCTTATCACCCTCTTCCTTTGTTACGAAAACTCACAGTTTGTGATGGTAAGGAAATATGATAACCCTCATAATGCCCCTAAGGCCTGTTGTCAGACGCGGTATCTCTGACGTTCATTAATTTGACTGTGTTCATTGACATTTTAGTGGCAGCGACACCTCAAAGTAAAAACAAGAACATGTCACGCGCGAACTCTCTACACCATGGCGTTCTCCTCAAGGATGGTTACTTCGCAGATGAAGTTGATTCAGGTCAACTTGTGGACAGAACCATAATGAAGAAAGGCTGGGAACCGGCAGCTCTCTACGTCTTTGGTGACAAGACATTGTTAAGGGTATGTGTTTATATTGATAGGGTATAAGTGACTTATTCGATGGGTGTAGTGGCTGGATAGGTTGTACACCATAGGTTAAACCAAGACATTACAACAGCAACTTCATAAAACTCTAGAGAAAACGACGTGAAACACACGAAGCAAAAAGAGCGAAACTCAACGAAAATAAAGTTTTCAACATTCGAACAAACTTGAAAAGTTTTCAATACCGGCTTCAAGTTGAAATAGTCACTTTTTGTGAAAGTATCACTCAGAACGCTAAGAACTGATCTTCTTTTGTTACATAACGGTGTACTTGCCCTCGAAGTATAAAACAAGCTTGCCACTTGAAGCGCGGGAAAATGCGAGTGACCAGGACGCGGTTGGTGTTAGTCTTGAATCTGATTGGTGGAGAGGATGGCGAAAGCGAAAACGAAAGCAGTAATGGATTAGTTCGGACACTTGCAAATTGCTGTTGAATATCCCTAATTTAACGAAGTGAACAGGGTCAACAAAGATCCTGTGAGGAAGGTACTGCATTTACCAATTTCGTTTTGTTTCCCTTTAGCATGTCAAACAAGAGGCTTATCCTAAGTGTGACTTTGTACCGATTGAGGTAAGACATGGGATGCGATTTTGTCTGAATTTTAGATAATTTGCGGTTTATGTATTCTATGTTCTGTAGTCCAGATGACGAACTTTTCTCTCATTAACGTCCATCCATATTTGTATCTCTATCGTCAGCTCCCAGACATCAGAGCAGTTAGAGCAAGTTTCAAGAAGTTTCAGCGTGCGACTTGTCCAAGTACAGAAACAAACTCAAGCTACATTCGGCAGGTCGAAGACTCTGAATGGCTCCAACAGGTATGTTGAATCAATAAACTCGAAAAAAATAATCGAGGTGAGAGAGGGGAAAATAGATCCGATATCCCTTGGTTTTCAATGAAATTAAGACCCGTTAGATTTAGCACACGAGTCTGAACTCGACTCTGAACAATCCCTGCATTTCTTGTTCGAAATCGTGGCGCTCTCGGCTTCGATCCAGGAGACGTAAACCTTGTAAAGCACATCCCTTGCAACTTACTTTGGGATTTTAAACCGAACTTGTTGGTTATATATCGTACAAGAACGTAGAGTTTGAAATGAGAATGAAGCTCCATTTTGTCGCTTGGGGGCAACAATACAAAATATATGCGCAGTAGTTCCTTTTTTATTCTTGGCACTGTAACAGTCTCAACACCAGTCGGATTCATAAACCATTATCCCTTTGATTTCCATTTGCAGCTGTCAGCCATCATGACGGTGGCCAACTGTTTTGTTGATCTCATTGATATCCAAGGATCGTCTGTCCTAGTTTGCTTTGAAGATGGCTGGGATGCTACTCCGCAGGTAATGGCATAATCACATGGTGTTAGGGACCTTAGGCAGCAGGATGGGGATGCTGAGAAAACTTTGATTCAAAAAAATGAATTTACATTTTCCATAAGAATTTCCGAAATGGCTGCATCTTTTTACCTTTGTTTAACAGCGTTAGAGCTCATCGCGAAAGTGAAATAGATAGGCAGTGTTTCGTCCCAAAGACTTACGCAAGTAGTTTTCCGGCGGAATTCTCAAACTTGGGGCTTTCACGTTCCTGCTTTGCAAAGGGTGGCTGGGAAAGAAACAAGTCTTGAAAGTGCAAATAATGAGCTCTTCTTCTTCTTCTTCTTCTTCTTCTTCTCATTAAAGCTCTTGTTTCTCTGGAGTCTTATTACCGTCGTAGTCGTGGTTTACTTATGGTCTCTGTTGTCTTTTACTGTTTGCTGGAAAGCATATCAGTTAAGGGTCGTGAAACGAAAACCAAAGTATTCACAACCGATCGATCAAAGCGAAGGACAATTTCTAAGGGAACCAATTAGAATTCAAAGAAGCCGGCTTCAAGCGTGGGAAAACGCAATTGACGAGGTCGAGATTGATTGTCATTTTTTGCATCTGAGAGGATAAGATGAAACTCGTGATCAATCACAGCGCGGTTCAAAGAGCAGATTTATTTATTATTAATTTTTTTTCTTCACGCAGGTGTTGTCTTTAGCAGAGCTTATGCTCGATCCTCACTATCGAACCATCGATGGTTTCAAACTTTTAATTGAAAAGGAGTGGCTTTCCTTTGGACACAGGTTCACCCACCGTGGAAATCATATCGCTTCAACCCAGGGAGGATTTACTCCCATCTTTCTTCAGTTCTTGGATTGCGTGCATCAGGTATTTTACGAGATATTGGTATTACTAGGTTAGACCTTGGATATAGAGCCCATTTCGATCGAATGTCGTAAAACCACACGCAAGTAATCACTACAGCCAATCAGATGTGAGGAAATTACCGCATGTAACAAGGAAACTACTTGAAGCGCGGGAAAACGCGGGTGACCAGCTCGCGTTTGGGTTTAGTTTTGAATCTGTTTGGTTGTGAGGATGGCGTGAGTTTTCTGAACCAATCACACAGTGAAGTCGAGAAAAACAAAAGCAATCTCGGATTACTTTCAATACTCTATTTATAATTGCTGTTGTGTAAAACTTTGTCCATTGTAAGAGTCGGGAAGGAAGGAATTCAGTGGTAAGCTGCTAAAAATGAGACTTTTCTCGGCTATGTGTGTGCTTTGTTTCAGCAATATGGGATTCTAGGTTGGGCAGCTCACCCTGTTGTTGAGTGCTCTTCGGTCACTCTTTTCAGTCACTCTTCCACTGTCACCTCATTTGCATAAAAATGCCTTTTTACCTTTTTAGATAATGCTTCAGTTTCCTTTGTCCTTTGAATTCAACGATCATTTTCTGTGTACTATCGCTTACCATCATGCCTCGATGAGGTTTCGCACTTTTCTTTTGGATTCTGAACATGAACGTTCCGAGTCTGGTTGGATGGCAGAGGAGGATCACAAACCAAGAGGGAAATCACTTTGGGATTACATGGATGTTCAAAAGACCAAGTCACCTCTCTATAACAACTTCTTGTACTCGCCAAACCAGACCAAGGTATAGAAAGACAATATCATGAATATACAGAAACAAACAACAGAATTCTCAACAAAATATGAACATCAGAGTGAAATAGCGTTTTGGGAACGATATTTTTATTAACGAAAATGAGTCATTAAAACTCTAAATCAATGTCGCTATCTAAGCAACTGCTCAGACACCCTTCCCCTAACCCATCAACAGTCAATTGGTAACAAGTTAGGGTTAAAGTTGGGTTAGGGGAGTGGTCTGTGCGCAGTTGTTCAGATACTGATCCAAGATTCCACGTGTCGTGGCGACTCCACACGTTGTGGATTTCTAGCTGAGGTCAAGATTTTGACATGTCTAAGGAAGTAGAGAAAGATGTTTTCGTCTTGTCACGAGCGTGGGACAAAGAAAAAATTCTGAGTCCCCATGAGGAATCAAACCTCAGACCTTCGGATTCCGCGCTCCGATGCTCTACCACTGAGCTGACAGGCGGCCTGCATACTGCTAGGATCAGCAATGTCGATAGCGTCATGTTTGTAGATAGAAGTAAGAGAGATGGTAAGTATTGAGTTCGATAAAGAAATAGAGAAAGACGTTTTTCGTCTTGTCACCATGTCTTAGGAAGTTTCCTTGAAGATTGTTGTTACACTTGAAGCTATGGAGGTTGTTTTTTTTTACGTGAACATCATGATGATGAAAAAGAGGCTGTTAGAAAGCTTTGATCATGAGGCATTGACCGAGATTCATTTTCTTTACTGGGGAATTGTCCTTTGATACACTCGAGACAATCAACTTAATCATGCTGCGAATAAATTCGATTATTTTGTCTTGTTATGGCACTTCATGATTGTGCCCTTAAAGTGACGGCGAAGTATCTGCAGCAACCGGTCAGAACGGAAAACATCACAAGGACCCAATGAGAACACTTTGTAGATATGTGTAAATGTCCTCTAGTTCGAGAAATTGCAAGGGAACAAGTCGCGGTCGGTTTTTAGTTTTGCATCTGATTGGTTGAGGTTGAGGTGGGGCAAGTTATATCGACCAATCATAGAGCGAATAGTAACAAATTAAATGGAAGTTGCTTAGGGTTTAGGGTTAAATGCACCGGTAGTTCTACACCAAAACTGAACTTAAAGATGTTACAATTTTCTTGCAGGTGTTGAGACCATTCTGTAAAGTACCCAATCTGAAAGTGTGGAAGTATTATACAACAGAGAACCTGTCCACCGGCCCAACTTATGACTTGGAGCTGATCAATGATGTGACAACCACGGTAGAAAATGAAGGAAGCCCTGATGGAAAACAGGTGTGGAAAAAAAAGCTATTATAAGTTCATATGAAGCTTGTAAATGAACTACAATCGAGTGATTGATCAATCAATTAATCATTTAATTACTTAATGACTGAGAGGGCTAGACTCTCATTTGGCTTGAGGTCACGACGTACGGACCGAGGGCAGCGAGTTCGGTGCATCACGACCCAGAGCCAAATATTTTCCCGTCTGGCCCAACCTAATTCAGTCAATAAGCATTTCATCACAAGGCCGTCGTTCTTTCTCTTTGATCCTTTCTTCTTTTAGCTTGTTGCTGGACCATATGGCTCTGTGCGGCCCTGCTCACGTCATCGCGTACGGTCCTCATGAGAGGATTTTTGATTAATATATTTCAATAAAAGTGCGCGTTGCCGTACGGGTCATATGATAATACTAGTCTGGTAAACAGAAAATCACAAAATATGTAGTGATAAACCAAGAAGGATGGAAGATATTAACAAAGAATGAAAATGTTAGGCTGGATGAATCTCATATGTGGCACCTGCAATAGTTCACGAATATGTAAGTTGACTGCAAATAGGTGAGAGAATTTATCAAGGAGGTAATTACAATTACAACCATCGCTCTGACGAAGGGTTAACGCTCGAAACGTCAGCCTTTAAACTCTTTACGGTGGCTAATTTACGTTTTCAACTCAGTTGGTAATACCAAATTACCCTAATTATAATTTTGTTTCATTTGTGACTAGGAGACCTATGGAAGCTGTACGACTGGTTGCTATGGTGATGTCACTCAGTTTGCACTAGACGAGTGCTCGTGGCTGCTTCAAGAGCTGTACAGATTGGAGGAGGAAGCTGATCAGAAACCTAAGAAATGGGAACAACACTGGCACAAGCTGTCTTACCCTGCCATGAAGAGAAAGGTGCGTTACGCAACTTAACGTAACGTTTACTAACGAAACGTAATGTAGACTAATTCGACAAAACGTAGCGAAAGGTCCACTGACATAACGTGAAGTTAAGGTACGCAAAAATTAGACTGAGAACATTCATTCATAGACACGAAATAAGATAACAAAACAGCAGATCGCCGCGCTTACAACATTTCAAGTTTATATACAGAAATCGTAAATTTATTGTATTCCGAGTAACTTTTTGAAATGATCAAGTTGCTTTTTTTGTTCTTATAGGTTTTGTCCTATAATGGAAGATGGTTCAATCATCAGAGACTGAACCTTCACAAGAGAAGTACCATGGAAGTAATTCTTAAGGTATTACAACTTCCCTAGAGATTGAAAGCTCCATACTTTTTTCCTTTCTGCGTTTCCCAAAAGTTGCCTCGATTTGAAGAGAGCCGCAAAATATTGGTTTAACGAGATAGAAAGGCACCAAAGAGGAAATAAAAAACTAACGAGGAGTGAGAATGATTTGGGAGGGAAAATATTGACACAAATTGGAATTGAGCTCTGGATATTAGTGATGAGGGATAGAAAAACCCAACAAAGGAAATGATACACTATGAAGGGCCAAGAGTGGATGAGAATGGGAAAGATTGACACGGAAACGGATTACAAATGATGAGCCCGAAAAGTTTATCGGTGTGCACTGAAATACTTCATGGAAAACTTTGGCTGATAGAAGTGATAGTAGTCTTATCTCATGTTTTAGGGTAAGCTCCAAGTGGAAGAACGTGGAGCTCAGGGCTTCTCACAGCCGCACAACTTTGAGACCCATCTGTTTGTTCCTCCGTCAAATTGCGATCATTGTCTACAGTTGATCATTGGTATTTTAAGCAAAGGTGAGAGTTCCGCCGCTCTTCCAGGATGTTGTCCCGTGTTCGAAGATTTCTTACCCTGTTTAGGTTAAGTTAGCTTTAACGAACTTTGTTACCAGGAGTGTGAGGACCCTAGGGGTGCTAGTGGTTCTCTATGCTGGTTCATCGTAGATAACCCCACCAGAATTTCGTTAAGTCTCTCAAACAGTTTATTGTTACCTGTTTATACCACTAAGTGGAGAGAGGTGTTGCCATGGTTAAGTGTTAATGTTGTGACCTGATCGTCCGCGTGAGCGTAGACAACCAAAGGATTTTAACAACCGAAGTGGAAGTCATATTCAGAACGCAGTCCACTGTTATTTCAGGATTCAAACTATTTACTTGATAGTGTTGAAAGGTCATTGCCCAACAATACACAACAACACACCCCAATGACCCCAATTAGGGCTAGAACCCAGACCTCTCGATCTCGCTTCCAACGCGATAACCACTCAGTCATAGTGTCATGGGTGTTGATAACCACCATCTCATTTTGTGTGAAACTCAAGAGTTATTTTCACATTTACAGGAATGAAGTGTACAGAATGTGGTTACAACTGCCATGAACGGTGCCAACCGCAGGTCCCTTGGCAGTGTAAGAAACGAGATCTTCTCGAGCAGCCTGGGTCTGGAATGACTAAGAGCACTATGAGCCTGCCTAGTGAGGTCAGCAGTCGCTGTCGGTTGCATTTAAACACTTATCGTTATATACTTGTACTTAGAATTCCTATTAATGTTGTCTTTTTCATTATTGTTGGTGTTATTATTGTTATTATTATTATTATTATTATTATTATTATTATTATCATTATTATCATTATTACTTATTATTATTATTGTTGTTGTTGTTGTTCATTATTCATTCCGAGTGTTTTTACAGTGTTAACAACCCTCTGGAGTGATGAACATTTTACCTCTAGGTTATAAGAATACACCGACGTATCAGATAAGGATTGTTACCTTGATGTAACAGGAAATTCTCTGAACTAATCTAAAAGAAATGTTTACTAACTAGAAGGGAGAATATCACGCCGTTCTTGAAATTTACATTATTGACCGTTTGTTCAACCCAGACTGATGCTGCGCACCCTAAGAAGCTTCACTGTGGATACCTGTTTAAGAGAGGCCACCTTTTACGGCAGTGGAAGTCCAGATGGTTTGTTCTAGACACTCAGAGAAATCAGGTATTTTTCGTTTCCTTCATTCGACCATTTGTCGTTAATTATTGAGAGCTATCGAATAGTAGCATGTTTTAAAGTTGCTCTAGATCTAAATTGAGTTGACTTGACTGGGCAAAATGCGATTAAATAGAGATGGTATTTGTTTTGTCTCGAGCTTGGGACAAAAAAAAATCCTTGCAGCAGAGAACCCGAATGATGAGCTAGGTCACTATTGGGTTCGTCTGTACTTTGCAGGGATCAGCAATGTTGAAAGCTTCGTGTGAGTAAGAAAGATTGTAAATTTTGAGCACCAGAGCACGAAATCCCAAGTTCTGGAGTTAAATTTCCGTGGAGGATTCGGATTTTTTCAAGAAGATCAATACAAGAACAATGGCATCTTTAATCAGATAACTGTTCTATTGTCACTCTTAGCTTCGGTACTATGATGAAGAACACGACGACCATTTACAAGGCTTTGTCGACCTCGGGGAAATGATAGCAGTGCATTGTCTTACCAACCTACCTCCAGGTAAGAGGGGATGTATTATTAACCATTTCATACACAGTCGCCTTCTTTTTACTGAACAGCAGAACCAAAGCCTTAACCTACAATACTTTACTCGCACTTAGGTTCCTTTTTGCGCTTAGCATCGAATTCGCGTTTTCGCCCGTTTGAAACTGGCTACAAGGGTTTCTGCGCCTGACACTGGCCGGAATAAGGTTTTTCCCGCGCTTAACACATGGTTTACGTTTTCGTGCGTGTGACACTGGCTACAGACAAGGCTACGTAGGCTCGTCACGCTCGACAATTTAAACCGATTCCACGTTCTCGCTCTTTAGTTGGGGTTAAAAATCTCTCCCACTTGAGTCCAATCACAACTCTTCCAGTCCCCTATACAAGGTAGACGCGCTTATCACGATTTTGCCGTCTTATTAAGTCCAGGGAGCCTGTTTCACTCTCAAGTGTTTATTAGCATGTGCCAAACGTTTTTCCGCGTGCGTTTCAGAGCTGCGTGTGTTCCTAATCTCAGAAAATTAAACAAGTTTCTTTTCTTTAGGCGAGCTTTGTTTTATTCTTTTTTATTACATTTCAGACTAATAGATCTTTTGCGTTTGCGCTATAGACAGTGGTTTCTTTTTGGGTTGCTTAATAATTATTCTGAATGTCGTGACACTCAAACGGGAAAACTGGTATATTTTTGCGCTGGACACTAACTCTTTATGATAATGTTTGTCCATTTGTTTTAGGTGCACCTAAAGGTTCGATAAAAGGAGCCTTTTTTGATGTGAGTTGACAGTTTAAATTACATATTGACTAAAGATATGAACATGTGTAAGATTCAGTAAAGTAAGTAGTGAAGGGAAATTTGTTATTGCTAGGATATAGTTACAGTTACGTTGTTTAGGTTCAAGATTCTTTCTCTTGACAATAGTCATAAAGTAATGGGAAAAGTTTGCTATGAGAAAGAGAAAAAATTTGTTCACGGTCTGGGAGTTACACCTCAGTGCAAGGCATTGATTTTCTGTCCAGGAGAAGAGGAGGGAAGGGCAGCTTTTGTGTCTTGTTGGTTGTACGTTCTAGAAAGATTTAAGCTTCATTTATTGAAAACACGACCGGCGAAGTGTGCCACTGTCTTCGCTTTCCTCTCTTGAAACCTTAAAAAGATCCAACAGAAAAACTATCAGAATCTTCCAATTTTAAAACAGATGCAAATAGGGTGACATCATTATACACAGCGAATTTACAATAGGCAGTCGTTTGCTGTTCGCCCCAACCTGACTCGGATGATAATATCAAACTTACAGAATTTGTCTTGATTTTGTCACAGTTGCGGACGACGAAGAGAGTGTATAACTTGATGTGTAACTCCTCTGAAGAAGCAAAGGTTTGGGTAGAAAAGCTTCAGAGCATGAATGTGTGAAGATCTTTCTGTTCTCGACGCTGTGCAAACGATTTCTTCATTTCATCTTCGGAGGAGGAATCTGTTTATCAATATGGCATCGATGAATTGCCAATTGTGTACTTAGAATCTTGAATAATGACTGGAGAAGCCTAGAGAGAGTGAACCACGAAACTTGGGGAAAAGTTTTTTGAAATAATCGTGGCTTTGCGTAGTTGGAGTTTTTAAAGGTCAGATGCCCTCCTCTCTTTAACGAGAGATACCGAGACTTTTAACCGTTGACGTAGCTATACTGATTGATCGTGGTAACTAAGCTACAACCACTCAGGTATCACTTACTGATGTCATCCGCATGGAATTTGCGGTGGAGGCTGTTTTTCTAAACAAGCGAACTGGATAAGCAACGACGCCCGTTTTAATTTTTACCCCATTTGTTGTACTTTATACATTCGTGAAAAACGAAATTAATTTTTAGTCGTCTGCATCTTTCTTAATTTATGGTCATTCGCCGTAGTTTCCTTCGTTTTAAGCATTTGTAGCGTTTATTTTGTGTTCACGCTCGCTGTGATCACAATTTACACAGAATCAATGTCAGTATTTGAGCAACTGCGCCCCTACCCCTGCCCCTACCCCTACCCCTCCCCTAACCTATCATTAACCTTAACTCGGTAACAGACTGTTGATGTGTTTGGAGGGAGGGGTAGGTGCGCTGTTGCTTAGATACTGACTTTGATCCGAAATTGTTTTATCCAGATTACTCTGAAGATGTACAGTTTTGTTTCTAATTATTACCAGTGTTTTACGTAACTGCTGTGAATGGCGTTTTCTTTTTAATTTTGATTTTGAGAGGGACTTACATGTGTCTGGACGAAGTTAGATCCACTATTAAAATGTCGTTTTTAAATAAGCTATCCTGAAAGAAAATGGAATGAAAATTGGAGACAGTTCATGGCTGGAGAACCTGCGTATTTTCCGCAGGTCTAAAAGAGAATTTTTAGATATGAAGCTTTGTAGAATGTGAAGTATATAATTAATTTTTAGTACTGTAAAATACTTAACCCTTTAACTCCCAAGATCAGATTGTTGATTCTCCCCTCTAGCTGCTACACATTTATTTGTAAATTAGTTACGAGAATTTGCTGTGAGATCAAGATTACAACTACTTGTTAAGTTTGGGTATTCTCAGAACCTGTTTGCTGGATGATGTATGGACATTTTAGGGAGAAGTTAAATATCACTTCAGGGAGTTGAAGGGTTTTACAATTATGATAGTGAAGTTCAGTATTTATAATAGTGCGTATCACTTAAAATTAGGCGGATGCAAATTTTGCTATAAGTTTTTTTTTTAATTTTTTAGCTGCATGGTTGCATGTTTTGCGAAGACTGAGGACAAACTCGTTAAGCGGAAATAAGAGTCTGCTCTTTAGGTCTGTGGATAGAACTAAAGGACTCTGGATAATTCTTTTGAACATTGGGATGAAGTTGAAAAATTTCATGCATTCTTTGTATGAATGGAACTTTGTGACAAGGAAGCTACTACTAGGCTGTTTTGCGTGTAAATTGTTTCCAAAATGTCGAATTTCGCCGTCTGTTTTCGCGTTTGGTCCCACGAAAACCTCATTTTTTCATCTTAACGTAGTAATATAATTTACTAAAAAGCTTAAATTTTATTTAAGTATTGATTAGAAACTTAAGTCTGCCATTACCAGCGTCATTCAATAACATGCAATCTGTGGAATTGTGGCACAGATTGCGGGTCTAGCTGCTGTCAATCATTCTCAGGAAACAAGAAGGGTATTTTAAGGGTTCCATAAAAAGCCGCCTCGCGGTTTTTGTTACTTTGTAAGTTCCATATGTGCCTTCCTTGTCAATCTTTGTCATCCATGTATTTTCTTGGCTAAATATTGCTTTGTTCGTTTCGCAGTGTTACTTAACTAATACTTTGTAGGTTGAATTAATTTGAAGGAAGCGTAATAACCTCGTTTCCAGGGTCCTCTCTCTTCCTCCTGTAACATATTGTGCCTTAATTGTGTCTTGTAAATTTCTAACCATTATGATAATGATTGACAGTAGCATAAGAATATTGTGGATTTGATCCTAATCAATAACGTTTCTAATCAGAAATAAAGCGTTTTCTTTTGAACTGTTAAGATTATGTGTGGAGTCCTATACCGCACGCCCTTTACGTTCATGAAATTTTATAGGATAATCTTCATATCAATTCTGGTAAGTGGAGAACTTTTTAGATTACATTTCTCTTTGCACTAGGACGATATTAAACTGTACGAGCCACTTTTGATTGCATTGCTGTAGTTGATGGATGTTCCGTGTTAGAAGAATAGTAAATTAAATTATTTTTATTTCTGGGAGTAATGTCTTCTGTGAACTAGCAAATCATTACTTTGCATTAGTTATAAGAAAGCCCGTAACAGCGTCGAGTTGTGATGTTTTGCTAAGTTAAGGACAGTCTCCGTTGCAGCCGATGCTTGGTCTTTTTCCGCAACACACTGTGTACCTCTCCAACTTGAAAGGTCTTCATTTGTCTTTATACAATACTTCCATTTTTAAGTTTCGGCTTCATTAGATGGTTTGACATGAGACCTTTTCCAAGGAAGCATTATAAGATTTAACCCTTTGCAGCTTTACATTAGCATTTATACCTTTCACTATTCTCTTCACAATTCCTATGGTCCGGACAAAGATAAAGTTTTGCAATCACGAGCTTCTTAAATTTGTGATCATTTCCTTTATCGTTATGATCTGAACTTTTAATTTAAAGGAATCACTGAGAAATTAGCAAAACCAAACACCCTTAGGGCTAGAGAGTTACAGAAAAGGTATACCAGAGAGTTTCCTCTGCTTAGTTAAAAGCATTTGATACTCCTTCGTGATCATTGGTCGAGAGCTACTGTCAATTTAACCTTTTTAACCCAAAGAGTGATTAGCATCTAATTTCTCCCTAAAATATCACCCCTGAATCACACTTTAAGATCTTGAGAATAAAGGAACTGATCACCAATGAAAGCTTTTGATCGGCAAACAAATTCTCCTTGTCAGCACCCTAGGAAATGCATAAAGAACACTATGTAGAATATGTATACTGATGTTAGGTTGTAAAGGGCTTACAAATGGAGTCCACATTGCTGTGCTTCCGTTTAGCAATAGATCACAGATGACGTCACAATGTGGTAAGAACAGAAAAACGGCATACGAGGCGCAACCTTAGTGTATCACTGATTTTCTTACCACATTCTGTAACATATTGCTATATAGATCTCGGCAGCATGCAATCTATTTGTTTTATATGATTAAAAGAAGAAAAACGTTATCAACGATGACGTCGTTTATGCGTCCGAGCTTCAAAAGATCATAAGTAAGAACCAATCAAAACGCCTGTATAATTCAGCCTATAATTTTAAGGACTGTAGATAATGAGAAATTCCTAAATGTGAACTGCCCTCAAATATGCTACATATTGCTGTAAACGGGTCACACTAACCCAGGGATGGTGGACCAGACCGAGGATGAACAGTTAGGCACGGAAACTGTTATGGAGTGAATGGTAATAAAAAATGAGAAGGGAAAACTGGGAACGGGATTACAAAGGATAAGAAACTTGGACTGGCGAACAACTGCTTTTTCATAAAAAAACAATTGTCCATTTTGCAGTTGCGTGGTTGGTTGCCAAGCCTTTTAATAGGAGTGAGGCTAAGGGTGACCTTGTTATGATACAAATCTTGCTGCTTCTCAAATGCAAATTTCCTTGTTATTATGCTAACTAGATACTCGTCTCTATCACAACAAGGTCACCTTCAGCCTCACTCCAAATCAAAGGCTTGACAATTAAGTAAAAATTTGGAACCCGAAACGATTCAACAAACTGAGCCCTCAGACGAATGAGACAGCAACTCTTCCGATATTTCATTCTCACGCATTTGAGAGCGTACAACCCCATTTCCTCCTCATTCCACTTTATCATGATTCTGGACTCACTGCAGTAGTTACATGGTAACTGTGATTATAACATTTTCAATAAAAATGTCCATCTTTCTGAAACATATCACACATAATTTACTTCCAGGATAAGCCTGACGTAAATTCATTAAAGACCACACGAAATATCTCTAGAACTTACCAGATGAATATTCTTCTGACTGCATTAAAGTGCAACTTGGTTTCCATTAGGTCAAATTTCCACTTCTTTTTCTCGTGTTGTTGCAAGATTCAAAGAAGTGACGACGACTTGGAATTTGGCAATTTGCTTTGAAAAATATTTACAGTGAACAATGACTTTAGATATATGAAATTCATATATTTGCACTGCGGTAAAGAAACGAATTTCAGAGATCCTCGCAGCTAAGAACACTACTGAACTAGTGGTTGAAAATAGGACCTGAAAAAAGATAAAAAAAATTCAGGCCCGTAAGGGATGTGTTCTTAGCTGCGAGGATCTCTTAAATTCATATTTACAGTGCTTTACCAGATATATCACTAGTGAGCTAAAAAAGAGAAGACAAAATTAATTTTTGAAAATCAATGTGTAAATTCTTTTTTGACAAGCTTTTGCTTTGTCTTAAGGAAGGAAGGGTTGGGAATGCAATCTGTTCATCAGAAATTTTTCTGCCCTCACAATGATTTAACATCGGATTGTAAACCCTTAAAAATCCTTGAATTTACTTACCTACATCAGCTGTGGATGACCTAGATTTTGATAGTGCTGTAGAATGTTTTTTTGAATGATCAATCATTCTTCATCTTCAAATATTGATTGAAGCTATGTTTTGACTTCTACAGTCCAGTTAGTGATTCTAATTTCAGTCTGCTGTTGCAACACCCTTCAGCTGATGAGCTTGTCTATTCTCATTACCTGTTTGCTGGACACTGCATTGATGTTTTAAGGAGAAGTTACACATTGATAACTTCTAAGATGAAGCATACAGCCTTCTTAGCTCACGACCACACCTCAGCTCCACATGTGTGACAACAACAGTTTTAATCACAAAAAA